ACTGGCCTGCGATGGTTTTATTGTTAACACAGGCCTGCGATAGTTTTATTGTTAACACAGGCCTGCGATGGTTTTATTGTTAACACAGGCCTGCGATGGTTTTATTGTCTTGAAATGTTTCCACGTTCTACAGTAACTCCTGTACGCTAAATCCCAAAACGATATCCATTTTTCTCCATCACGTACAGATTTTTCACAAAACGTCATAACGCAATACATAAAATAAAGAGCACAACACGTAGTTTTGAGACTAAAAGACGTAGATTCCACCCAAAAAAATCAGGATGCATATTCGTTTGACATAAATGTTCTTCCCTTTTCTTCAGTTTGTTTGTATTTTTCTTAACAAAAATAATAATAAAAGATATTCATTGTGGCAAACGAAATAACAATTTGATCTAAGTAAGAGTTTTTTTCTTCCCGAGTTGTAAAAAATTATTATGCGATAGAAAAAAAAAGATTAATACTATTTTCGAAATCTGCGTAGCTGAATTATGAAAAATCTGTTAATAAAACCAAAACAACTTTTATAAAGTTTAAATTCGCAGGCCTGTGTTATTAGAATACTACACGAATAGCCCCCCAGTGTCACAGAAGTATGTCTGAGGACTTAAAACGCTAGAATCCGGGTTTCGATACCTGTGGTGGGCAGAGCACAGATAGTCCATTGTGTAGTTTTGTTCTTAATTACAAACAAACTACACGAATGTCTGTTTTCATTTCTATAGAAAGTCGTTAATAGAATATCTCTCTTTTACCAATACTTAGGCAAGTACAAATAGAACAAGAAAAATATTCTACAGCAAAACAAAAAACAATATTTTATACCACTTTCTTTATACTATGAAATATTCTTTTCGTCTTTTTTTGTGCGACTATTCCGTGGCCAGAAAATGGTTATTTTAATTTTATTGAGAATTTTTGTAATGGCAGTGACTTTCTAGTAGAGAACCTTACCGACACTAGCACTCACACTAACTAAACCTTTGATTCAGGTGCACTATCCGTAGTAGAAACGAAGGGGAACGTCCTTGTCAACTTCTTGTAGTCCGTAACCTTGCTGACACTAGCACTCAAACTAACTAAACCTTTGATTCAGGGGCACTATCCGTAGTAGAAACGAAGGGGAACGTCCCTGTCAACTTCTTATAGTAGATAACCTTGCTGACACTAGCACTCACACTAACTAAACCTTTGATTCAGGTGCACTATCCGTAGTAGAAACGAAGGGGAACGTCCCTGTCAACTTCTTATAGTAGATAACCTTGCTGACACTAGCACTCAAACTAACTAAACCTTTGATTCAGGTGCACTATCCGTAATAGAAACGAAAGGGGAACGTCCCTGTCAACTTCTTATAGTAGATAACCTTA